AGAAAGAAACGAAGATCAACTCACCAAGATCCTTGGACTTATTTGTAGTAGAACTAGGCACGTTCTTCTTCTCTGAGTTGGAGCATTGTTGATGACACGTGAAACACACTATTTTATACCCCCATATTATGATCGAAAGTGCACTTATTTCTTATTTTATCGTCATTGTACATTGGATTTTCTATGAGAATACTCAAAGTGAGTTTGAGACTGCTTTTATTACCAAATTACCCTTTTAGTTCCGTTATGTGCATTTTCAGGTCAAAGCATGCCAATTGACCACTTTGGACCTCATGGGACATCAAAGCCTAGCTGTTGGAGCAAGGATTCGAGGAATGTAACCTAGGCCCATAAATGGTGCAAATTTTGGCATCCCATGATGATAAACAATGTTGTGGCTGCTGATTTCAGGAAGTGCTAACTTCATCAAGAAGGCATCCATAAATTATCCTAAAGTAGTCGTTGCATGGAAGGACTCTTCTAATTGGTTGGATGACGCATCACGTTAGAGTTTCTCTCCTAGAATACCCTAATCCAACACCTTTACAAAGGTCTCTAGGGTTTATAACTTGATAGCTAGTGATAGGAGGCAGTTAAAGGGTTGTTACTCTATCGACAAAGTACCCTCCTGACTTAGAGTGAGACCTGTATCGAGGAAGGAATCGACGGCAAAATGAGCACTCTAAGGATCTATTTCTCTATTGCGGCGACCAATTATAGTGGTCTTTTGGGATCTTTGTTTCAATTGGTGACTCCGCATAACCCGCCCCCATGGCCACCTAATCCCTTTGTTGCATAGATGTGCAAAACCTAAAGGTTCTGGATTTGTAAAACTTGATGTTTGGTATTTTATATGACTAATTTTCATCTGATTATCGTTTATGAATGATTTCCTCTATGTTATCTCTTGTTGGTTTAGATGAAAGCATAATTGAGCTTGAATCCCTTCGTGTTGCAAGTACCAAAACGGTTGTCGTTTAGAACAAGACCATACATGGCGGCTCTACTCGATCAATCATCATTCGATCAAACGACATGACACCTCTAGGGAGAAATTGGTAGGGTCTTTGTGATGCAGCGTACGTGGGTTGGATGAGTATTAATCGAGACTCGTTGATTCTAAGAATGGCCGAGACACGATATATGCGAGGACAAGCCTCTTTTGTTCTTTTATTTCAATCAAATTAGCTGTCGAACAACTAACCTAACAACCTCTATAAATAGGCTTACAACCACAACAACCTAAACCGAGTAATAAAAGGAAAAGAAACCGACACGAGGAAGTAAAACAAACGCATAATGGTCCATAAAAAATAGAAAAGAACCCCACAAAACTCTCTACGTTGCATGGGTTGGACCCTCTACGTTGCATGAGCTGGATCCGCACCATTCCCCCCTAGGTAGAAAAGATTCGACCCCAAATCGGTCGCCGCATCGTCCTCTTCCGTCAAAGGATCCGCAACGAAGGGAACAAGATGTTTCACATTGAACACATCGGAAGTACGAACATGACCCGGCAAACGTAGGCGATAGGCATTGGGATTGATCTTCTCGACGATCTCCATGGGACCAATCTTCTTGGCAGCAAGCTTGGTGTACTCATGAGCTGGAAAATGGTCCCTCGTGAGGACAGCCCAGAAGAAGTCCCCGACCTGAAACTCAAGGGCCCGCCGCCGCTGGTCGGCCAACGCTTTGTAGGCGGCAGTAGAAGCCACCAAGCGATCGTGGGTAGTCCGGTGCACCTGTGTCAACTGGTCAACGAAATCAACAGCAGTAACGTGATTGCGAACCTTGTTGGGTAAGGCGACTAAATCAAGGGGACCTCGAGGAGATAAGCCGTAGACGACATGAAAAGGTGGAAACCCCGTAGAACGATTAATCGCTCGGTTATGAGCAAATTCGGCCTATGGTAACTTTTGATCCCAAGCCTTGGGATGATCCCCGACTAAAATCCTCAAAAGATTCCCCAACGACCGATTAACAACCTCGGTCTGCCCATCGGTCTTGGGGTGGTAAGCACTACTAAAATTCAGTCGCTTATTGACCATACGCCACAAGCTTAGCCAAAAATGACTGACAAAACGGTTATCACGATCCGAGACGATCGAGGCAGGAAGACCATGAAGACGATAAACATCTCGGAAATAAAGATTAGCCACGGCAACAGCATCCGACGTCTTCTTGCAAGGAATAAAGTGGACCATTTTCGAAAACCGGTCAACCACGACAAAGATAGAATCCGACCCACGCTGGGTGCGCGGGAGGCCAAGCACAAAGTCCATACTCACGTCGGACCATGGCTGTACCGAGATAGGAAGAGGGAGATACAATCCGGCATTGGTGGCGGCTCCCTTGGCTAACTGGCAGACGCGACAACGTGCGACGAATTGTCCCAGGATCTGGGAGAAAAATGGATCGTCCACATAGAGTTCCTGGAAAGAGTCAAAGCTGGGGACGTGTACGCGCAGCTCGGAGAGGAGACCACTACGACGACTCAACGCATCTACCACACGATTCGAGACCCCCGCTTTATGCTTGATCACAAAAGCAAAATGTTGCAGATAAGAAATCCACGACACGTGACGATGCGAGATCTTATCCTGGCTGCCTAAATGCTTGAGAGAGTCATGATCCGTGTATAAAATGAACTCCCTGTGGAATAAATAATGCCGCCAATGCTTAATTGCCTGGACCACCGCATAAAACTCGACATCATACGTGCTAAAACGGAGCTTAGCCCCTGATAGCTTCTCACTGAAATAAGCTACTGGGCGCCCGAATTGGCTAAGAACTGCGCCAATGCGCGACTTCGAAGCATCGAAATGAAGTTCAAACGGTTGACTGAAGTCGGGGAGGATCAGAATTGGGGCCGCAATGAGGCATTGCTTGACTTCAAGAAAAGCAGCCTCCGCGTCAGGAGTCCACTAGAACTTAGTGCCACGTATGCAGTCGGTAAGGGGAGCCATGATCCCGCTGAAATGAGGGATGAAGCGCTGGTAAAAAGACGCCAGTCCATGGAAGCTACGTACCTTGGTGATCGATGATGGGCGCGACCACTGTTCAAACGCTTGAACCTTGCTCGGGTCAACTTTGAGGTCGTCCCGCGAAACCACGTAGCCGAGAAACTGGATCGATGAAGAGAGGAAGGCGCACTTTGTTGTTGCCGCGTAGAACTTCTCACGACGCAGGACCCGCAATACGTCATGGAGGTGCTCGAGGTGAACCTGTTCGTCCGCACTATAAATCAATATGTCATCGAAATAAACGATGACACATTTTCCAATGAATGGCCGGAGAACTTGGTTCATCACTCGCATAAATGTACTGGGGGCATTAGATAAGCCGAATGGCATGACAAGCCATTCGAATAATCCTTCTCGAGTCTTGAAAGTCGTTTTCCATTCGTCCCCCAGGAGGATGCAAATTTGATGATACCCACTCTTCAAGTCGAGCTTACTGAACACCGAAGCACCACCTAGTTGATCGAGCAAATCATCCAACTAGGGAATGGGGAATCGATAGCGCACGGTGATCTTGTTTATGGCCCGACTGTCAACACACATACGCCAGGACCCATCCTTCTTCGGAGTAAGTAGGGAAGGAACGACATAGGGACTCAGGCTCTCCCGGACATGGCCCTTGGAAAGAAGGTCTTCAACCTGTTGACGTAGTTCCTCATGCTCCTGCGGACTCATACGATAATGCGGGCGATTGGGAAGGGAAGCGTCGTGAACCAAGTCGATATAGTGTTGGATATCACGCAACGGTGGTAACTCGGTAGATTCTCCGGGAATACGTCCGCAAACTCACGTAATAGGGGCTGAACGACTAATGGTGCTGGGGTCGACGAAGCACTTGTGGTCAGCGAACAGAAGACAAAGAGGACCATGCCGGACTCTCTCATTGCCGATTGGAATGGGCCCCTAGTCAACAATGTCGTTGGGGAGGGCGTGGGGCAAGAAGTGGTGGCCCCGGCCTTGGGTTTAGCTGGCAGCAAGACGATCTTAGTTCCCCGAAAGAGGAAGGAGTATGTGTTAGCGCGCCCATCGTGGAGAACCGAGTTATCATATTGCCAAGGCCTGCCCAGGAGCAAGTGACAAGCATCCATGGGGACCACATCACAGTAGACGGTATCTCGGTATGTCGCTCCCACCGAAAAACTCACGAGTACCCTTTTAGAGATGGTCACTTCAGTGCCCTGGCTGAGCCAAGAAAGACGGTAGGGCTTGGGGTGTGCTTCCTTCGTCAATCCAAGCTTCGAAACCGCCGTTTCAGCTATCACATTCTCACAGCTCCTGGCATCAATAATGTAGGTGCAGACCTTACCATCTATAGTGCACGTGGAGTGGAAGAGATTGTTACGAAGCCAGTCATGATCAGGGACGCGCGGAGTGAGGCAAGACCGGCGGAGTACCAATAGAGGTCCGACATCCCCAAATACGAGCTCTTCAGCCTCCTCATAAACTGGCTGGGAATCGCCTAGGGGTTCTAGATCGGACGTACCTCCTTCATTAAATAGCCCACGAGTAACAGTTTTTGGATTCCTGCACTCCGACTGTCGATGTCCAGCTTCCCCACAGTTAAAACATCGCAACCCTCCCATACGCCCCTGTGGATTCCCCGTCGAGCCCCGCAATACAGGTGGCGCAGCAACTCCTCGCGCTGGCGGCGGGAGGGAGTCGGGGTTATTAGGCGAGATAGTCGCTGGCCTGAAATTGGCGAGGCCACGCCGGGCTAATTGTTTCTCCGCTTGGGTTGCCCTTTGCTGGGCCTCTACCACATTCACCAGATTGAACATATTCAAGACGTCCTGCAGTTGAAGTCGTAAACCCCCAATATATCGGGAGACCAGTTGTAGAGGCGACTCCGTGATGTCTATACGCGCTAGGAAAGAGTGGAAGTCAGTTGAGTACTCGTCTACAGTACGAGGGCCCTGACGGAGATTCTGAAAGCGTGGGTACAGCTCACGGTCAAAGTTTTAGGGCAAGAATGCCGCCCGCAAATGCTTCCTGAACTTATTCCAGCTTGCAATCTTCTCCTTACCCTGTCATGCTCGTGTATTCTTCAGCTGTTGCCACCACGCTTGCGCACGATCGTGCAACCGGATCGTGACTAGAGGGACACGGCGATCTTCTGGAAATCCTTTAAAATCCAAGATCTCCTCATCTTGGGAGAGCCAGTCTATGACTTCTTCCGACTCTAGAGTGCCATCAAACTGGGGAATATCCACCCTAAAACCTTGTTCCCATCGGGAGTTGTGGTGTTCCGGCGAATGATTCCGAAGATTAGCGAAGGGATTTTCGTCAATGATGGTAACATCATCATACTGGCGCTGCACCTGAACGACTTCGTCCAGTCGTTGTGCCAACATCTCCACCTGACGCCTCAGCTCGTCATTATCACGTTGAACTTCGGCGTTCTCACGTCGCAAGTCAACAAAGTCAGCATCTTCCGCAGTAGCAGCTCGCGCCTGCCTACGGGGCGGCATCCCTCGGAATCAGCCAGGCTCTTATGCCAATCTGATGCAGCGTACGTGGGTTGGATGAGTATTAATCGAGACTCGTTGATTCTGAGAATGGCCGAGACACGATATATGTGAGGACAAGCCTCTTTTGTTCTTTTATTTCAATCAAATTAGCTACCGAACAACTAACCTAACAACCTCTATAAATAGGCTTACAACCACAACAACCTAAACCGAGTAATAAAAGGAAAAGATACCGACACGAAGAAGTAAAACAAAGGCATAATGGTCCATAACAAATAGAAAATAACCCCACAAAACTCTCTACGTTGCATGGGCTGGACCCTCTACATTGCATGAGCTGGATCCGCACCACCTTGTCTCCCATTGACAGTAATATATATCAAAGTGAGATTAGATTACATAAAAAAAATCATCAACTCGTATGTTGCTATTATCGAGGGAAACATATCTAGGAACTTAAGGGAGAGTTTTGCCTATGCAACACCTCTCTCATTTGTGTCTTCACTCTCCCAATTAGAATATATTTACTTTTCCTACACTTTATTTTTTGTTTTGCTAAACATGAGGCACCTCAACCTCCTACATAAGTTTTCCTTCAATATAGAACTCGTCCCTCACCACCTGAGTAAGTGGTTGTGAGAGGCTTTAGGGAATACGATCCTGGCCTTTGGGCCAGGTAAATTTGTTTCGCTGCTACAATTGAAGAAAAATTTTGACGCCGTTGTCGAGTACTCTCTTAATCGTTGGAAAGTGAATTATCAATTATGTAAGAGTTTTATCCCTCTCTCTGTCTTTTTTCTTTTCTCGTACTTCTTTTCTCCCGTTTTTGTATATTTATTTGTGTGTGTGACATGGGATAAAACCCAAAGCTCCCAGAATCAGCGACCCAGGAGACAAAATCCTTTGTATTTCAATAGCCCAATCCACCAAATAAATGCATAGTCTATTTCTTACGAATCCTGCCATGCCCTCTGTGCATGAGCCCACCACGAACGAGGGGTTTGTAATGTTTGTATGTCTAAAAAAAGTGTTGACTTTTGGATGGAACTCCTCTATATAGGTACAAAGCCTCCAAAGTCAACCCGGTTGTTTTTCCATTTTATAATTTATATGGTTTGTATTGTTTTTTGGTCAAGTTTTTATTATTTGTATAGTTCGTATGTTTTATATTGTTTGTAAATCAGTTTGTATGTTTTATAGTTCTAGTTTGTATTGTTTGTAAGTCCGATTTGTATAGTTTGTAATTTTTCATGATACCAAAATTAATCTTGTCACTAATTATAAAAATTTCCCATTTTTTAATCATTAGATTTGCGTGTTTATATTTAAAGTCGGGAAGAAATTTAGTTAAGTGACTAAGCACCCCATTTAGTCATCTTATCCTCCCTCGAGAAGACCGAGAGACGAGATCTTGGTGACGAGTCAGGTGAAAAAGTCTACGCATGGGACAAATAAATTTCGGACTCAAAGAAAACCCTATTGTGTATCAAGTATCAACCACTGGGTAGGGGTGTGTATTGGGTGGGTTGGGTGGATTTCGACCATAAAATGCACTCACCTGCGCTTAAACAGATTGACAATTTTTAACCCACATTCCACCCATATTTAGTCTCGGGTTGGGTAGGGTGGATAGCAGATGATGTAAATGGGTTTGCGGGTTCACCCACATCACAATGTACATAATATAAAGGAGTCAACTTGACATGATCCATTTATATTCCAGAACCCCCTGTATAATGTCGATATGTAAAATAAAAATCCATTTCAACATCCATTCACCCTCCAAATTTGAGATTCACTTCAAGTGTGTTGATAGTTATCGGGCGGAAACAAGAAGATGAAATAGGAAGAAAAAATATTGAATTCGTTTTGAAATTGCATAGAAATTCTATTATTGAGTAGTTTTCTACAAATGGAGATGATTATCTGGTGCAGGAAACTAAGAAAAATAATTCAAAAGAGGAAAGAGATGTGATTTAGGCACAAGAATCAGAGGAAAAACAAAGGGAAGAAGAGGAAAGTCTAGATTTGAAAGATTGGCTTTGAGATTCAATCTCTAAGAGTAACTCTAGTTTTCATCAGCGTCTCCACTCTTCAGCGCCTACGATTTTGTTCTTTTTGCTATTGGGTTGAGCGGGTCACCCGCGCACCCGCCCACAACCCACTCACCACTCGACGGACGCCTTAGAGCACAACACGTCAGCCAGTCACAGACCCACCCACATAACGAAATTCTGGTCAAATGCGGACGAATCGTCCCAAACCCACGGGTGACCTGCCCACATGCCCAACACTACCACTGAAATTGCCCATTACGTGGCGAAAACGACTCTTTCATCGACAGTTCAATTAGTATTGACTGACGGTCTAGCGCTTTTATTTTTGTAATAATCTATTGTAATCAACTATCTATTATTATTTTATCTATGACAGAAAAAAAGAGAGGAAAACAAACCAAAAAAATTGAAGGGCGTGCGTGACACGACAGTGCACCTGGACCGGCCACCCTGCGAGAAGCAGCGGAGCAAAACCCGGACGTTTCTCGTCCAATTAACCGGAATTTAGAATCGCCGATAGGTCCGGCCCCGTTTTTGAGCTGAGAGATAGGCTCCGCCTTCGTTTTCCTTCTTCCGGTCAACAAAGAGTTGTTAAAAAAAAAAAAAATTCCAAAGGAAAACGCTACAACAACGAAGCACTATACCGAGGGAAGAAGAGAGAGAGAGAGAGGAGTCGGCGGTTGAAGGTTTCACCCCGCAGTCGAAACCCTAATTAGGCCTTCTCTCTTCTTTCTTCTGCTTCTGTTTCGGTTCTGTTGCAGCCGCCATAAGTGCCTGGGATGCTTCTGATGCGGCTGTGTTTCCCATCTTCCTCGATTTGGGTGGTGTTTCGTGGTTGATTTCGATTCTTCCCTCGGTGGCGTTGTCGAATTGTTGCGGTAGATTTTGAGTAGATCACTTGCTGTTTCCGGACTGGTGTTGTTGCTCGGCAATCATTGATGGTTTAGCTATCGGATTAATTGCTGCTGGGGATTCTTTTGGGCGGAGGCGTTCTAGGGGAGGAGGTTGTTGAAGATGGATTTGGTGAATAGTTGTAAGGTAAATTGGTTTGAATTATGGAGGCAGCAGTGTTATTTGTTGCGGAAATCTCCCCTTCTCGGCTGCAGCTAATTTCTGTTTGTCGTTAGAATTGTCTCTCTGCCCTCTGTTTTACTGTTTAATTGTAAAAAGGAATCCCTTTTAAAGGTTTGCTGAAGCATGCAGCAATGTGGAACCGCGTATTCACAATTGTGTTGTGCTATTTGTTCAGTTGCTTCACAGTCTTATTTTACATTTAGTGGGAACCACCAAGCAGGATATGCTTCTGCACTACTGCTGTTCCGCTTGAGCATCTGTGACATGGTCTTCTCGAACGGATTGGAGTTTGGTTGGATTGTTCTTTTCTTGCAGCAGATAGTATCTGAAATGGAATAGTTGACTGAGGTGGCTACCACTTCTTGTTTGTACTCAGGCTGAAGTACAATAGTTTTGGGATTAGATTTGGAGTTATTCTATCTTTCTTTCAGTGTGTTATGTGCTCTCTTTATTTACACATATCTGCTATCAGATTTTCTCAATTTCTTGAACTTGTGGTCGCCAGATGGATCTGAGAGATACCATTTCTCTTGTAGGAAAAGTTGGCATATTTTCGAATAAAGGAACTCAAGGATGTCCTGACGCAGTTAGGGCTTTCAAAACAGGGGAAAAAGCAGGTTAGTATGATCTTTCTTCGTACTTAGCTTTGGCATTCGTTGCTAATTAGCATTAAGGGGTCGTTTGGATGTGGAAATTTGAAAACGTTGGAATTTGTCTGAATTTCCATGTTTTACAAAACCAAGGAATTGACTTGTGGAAATTGAAAAAAATTTCACGTTTGGATAGGGTTTAGTTTTGTGGGAATTGATGGTGTGGAATTTGGAAAAAGAAGTAAGAAAACGTGGTAATGTCAAATTACTAGGGGGAGGTGTAGTATTCTCAATTACCATGAATGTGGTAATTGAAGCCAATTTCCATGGTCCAATTCCCATACCCTTTTTGCTCTCCCAAACGTGGGTTTTAAACCCAATTACTGCGTTATGTGGTATTTGGGTCCAATTACTGCATTGCATTTCCACGTCCAAACGACCCCTAAGTGTTCTTGATCATGCTGTTGTTTCTTTGTTGCTGTTACTTGTACTGTACAGGACCTTGTCGATCGCATATTGAATGTCCTGCTCGATGCACAAGGTAAAATGCTTCCCCACTGTTGCATAACCACCTCTCTGCTTCCGGTCTTCTCGTACTTTACCTTCTGTGGTTGTAATTGTGACTTTTGGTTCATTTTGGCTGTTGATGAGGATATAAATTTTTTTCCTAGTATTTGTTTGTACGATTTCACTGTAGCTGTTTTCTGAAACCATGGTCGTAAAGGGAAAGTACCTGCTCAATAAGATTAGTTACACAAAACTGAATGGAAATTGAACTATATTAGTCTTACTACTGTCACACTAACAGGTTCTGTCAGTTGTAGGCATTATTATTCTTATAATGCTTGAAATATAATGTTTGTCGAGCATGTACATTTAGTCTCTCACACTTATTTCATCATCCACTGCTTGGTATTAATGATTGTTTACCTATGTTCAGGTTCCAAGGCGTGGCCAAAGAGGGGTGCTGTTGGAAGGGACGAAGCAGCAAAACTCATTGACGACATTTACAGGTTCTTAATGACATCTCTTGACTTGTAAATTAATTTTCCAGATTGTCCTGATACGTTAGGTATTTCCATATAGGACATTCTATGTTGAGAATAATTGTCTAAGCAAGTCAGCTTTGATCATCTGTACTATTAACTTCATTCATTTTACACATACCTCACCGATCAAGTAATAAAATGTACTCTCATCATCATCTTCAGGAAAATGCAGGTCTCAGGTACTGATTTAGCATCAAAGGCGCAATGCGTTTTGGATAGCAGCAATTCAAATACAAAACTTGTTAAAGGAGAACCCGAGGACTCTTTTCCCAGCAATACAAAAGTTCGGTGTCCTTGTGGCAGCACATTGGAAACAGAGTCAATGATTAAGGTGATTTGCATTTGTTAAATCTATGGAGTTTTAGTTTTCTTTGGCACTTTTGCTATTCCTATGTACACCTAGTTTATTGTGCATGGATCAGCGTCTCTCTTAGGAAATTAGATATTGTGACTGCTTACATTTCATTGTTGGAGCAATCACCTACTCTTTTTAGTGTCTGAGTTGTTAGTCTCTCTTGAGGTATGAGGAGCATGACCCTTCACATTTATCTTCAACCTATATTTTGCTGTAATATCTTGCTTACAAAATGTTGTTATCAATCATTTGTAGTCTTTTGATTTGTTAATCACAGCATAATAACCATTTCCGAAGTATTAAGTTCACTTTTCAATTGTTCCACACTTTTCTTGCACAAGCGTGTGAAGAGTGGAAGGACTTGAACAAGGTTCCACTTTTCTCGTCTAAGATTGATTTTATTGTGGCTAATTTGTGGAATCAATATTTTTGTCACTGCAGTGTGAGGATCCCAGATGCCAGGTGTGGCAGCATATTGGTTGTGTTATAGTTGCTGACAAACCCATGGAAGGAACTCCCCAAGTTCCAGAAGTGTTTTACTGTGAGATTTGTCGACTGAGCCGAGCTGACCCGTACGAATCTTTTATCTACTTGCTTGTTATGTTTGAACTGTTGTGCTGAATTCAGTTTTTTGTAAAAAAATAAAATTATTTAGCTCTTTCACGCCTACTTTAATGAGGTATTTTGGGGTTTTACTAGCAGCTTTAACTATACCTTTCCTTTTTCTTTGTTATTGCAAACATCATTATTTGAGGTGCCTTTGTGGCTCGTGACATAGGCCAAACTTCGGGGTGGATTTTGTTTAGGAACTTATCCTTGTGTTTAATGGTTAATTATAACTATGCCTAACTAGGTAAGGGGGACTAAGTGAAAGCTTTAACTGTAGCGCTGTTAAGTTTTTTGTTTTCTCTTGGTGTTATTAAGGCAAGTATTCATGAGCATAGTGGCAAACTTTTTTTCCTGTACAGTCCACTGTGTGGAGCCGAACTTTTGAAATGACAGATGGTGAAGCAGATTAATTGACATTGAAAATTTTGGAGATCAGGAAGATGACATGAGGAAAATCATGTAGTGGGAACAAGATTTGATTTCGTTTACAACTTTTTGTTTGGAATATTCTGTAGTAGACAGTGCAAGTTTTACTGAGTCAGCAAAACTAATCCAGATGTAGTCGATACATAGTTTATCCCTCCATCTCCATTGTTCAATGGTTGCCTTGTGTCGGGAGCTGAATGCAGGTTCCTTTTATCTCTTATGATTTCTTGTTTTAGTCTATTGCAACATTAGTATTATGTCAGTCTGATTTCTATTAATACTTTTGTTAAAACTTAAACCTCTTTTTATGCTCCCACACATCACATTAGTGTTTCCTTCTAATATGAAGTAAACTTTATCTGCAGCTTTTGGATTGCAATGGCACATCCGCTATCTCCTGTGAAGCTGGCCACTACAAATATCCCAACTGATGGGTAGGTTTATCGTTATTGTATTAGTGATTTCTGAGGAGCTTGAATGTGCTGTTCATTTCTTTTCCTTAAGATGCTTTGCATTTAGATCTGAGGTGTATGTACTTGTCCAATAAACTCTATGAAATAAGCTAGTTTGCATTTTGCTGTTGTAGGGTTTGGTGTGTAAGTTTTTCATATAGTTCTCATGCACAGTAATTCTATATTTGGGGTATGTGGGCATATACAATATTTTGGGAGAAATGCTGCTTGTTAGCTTTAGGAATTCTGACTATGTAAGTTGCATCTCTTTGCCCTTCACCTCTGCCAATATACAGCTGAGCATAAGCCCAACTAAAGTACTGTCTTACTTGCATTAATTTCGTCTTGCCATTAATTGATAGGCTTTCATATCTTGTTTGATGCTGTACATTTCATCTGCCTACTGTAGTGACTTATATTCAATATTGTCCAGTACAAATCCAGTGCAGAATATAGAGAAGTCATTTCACCTGACGAGGGCAGATAAGGACCTATTGAATAAGCCAGAAATTGATGTGCAGGTTGATTGATTTCAATCCTTTTCTTCAAATTTTCATTCCAGGAGTTCAGATATATGTAAAAAGTGATTTGTTGTTTCTATTTCCCACCTATCTTAGGCATGGTGCATGCTTTTGCATGACAAAGTCCCATTTAGGATGCAGTGGCCTCAATATGCTGATTTACAAGTCAATGGTATGATAATTACTCACTATTTCATGGATGTGTCTATTAACTAGTTTTCTCACTTTAGGTTTCTTAATACGAGATTTATAATTTGTTTGGGTAAACAGGTGTACCTGTTCGTGCGATCAATAGACCTGGCTCACAACTGCTCGGGGCAAATGGCCGTGATGATGGTCCAATTGTGAGTTTTTGTTTTTGTTCTTGGGGTATTTGTTATTATAATTATTTGCTGTATGAATTACTGTAGGGTGGTTCTATTCTGGGTCTAGCAGGCATTGGCCAAGTAGAGCCTTCATCTTTTTTTGTTTTTGTTTGGCTAACATCTCAACCTTCTTTGAACATCTTCATTGTCGGTTAGATCACGCCATGTACGAAGGATGGGATCAATAAAATATCATTATCTGGATGTGATGCTCGGATTTTCTGCTTGGGGGTAAGGATAGTGAAGCGGCGTACACTTCAACAGGTAAGCGTTCAATTTGTATGCTTCCAATCTTCTCAATATGATAGACTTTTGTTATCTATAATATAATACCAGAAGAGTGTGTTTGATGGTCAGAAGTATCCCACAATGTATATACTATATAGTTGTTTTGAATTTCTCATTAATTCTTGGCTATCTTATATTATGAATGTTTCTGCTAAGTATTGTTTCATGTTATCATTTCAGATACTTGGGTTAATACCTAAAGAATCTGATGGTGAACCTTTTGAGGACGCACTTGCTCGTGTTTGCCGTTGTGTTGGTGGTGGAGCTCCAACTGATGGTGCTGACAGTGACAGCGATTTAGAAGTTGTCGCAGACTCTATTACTGTCAATCTTCGTTGTCCTGTAAGTGATCTTTTTATTATTTCTTGTGAAGCATTGAAGTGGTGGGAGTTACAGGAGATTTTTGTAATGGACCTTTGAATAGCTGTTCCCTTCAGTACTGGACATCCAAACTTTTGTTTTGTATGTCATCAGTCCTTTAGTTATTAGATTTTTGACACTGCCCGCAACGCTCTTATAAAATTGTGGATTCTGTGGTGTCCCCCTTTCATAGATGAGTGGCTCAAGAATGAAAGTTGCTGGAAGATTTAAACCGTGTGTTCACATGGGCTGTTTTGACCTTGATGTTTTTGTTGAGCTCAATCAGCGCTCTAGGAAGGCAAGTAACTAGCGTTCATCCCTTTGTTTTTCTTTTTAGGGTTCTAATTATTTGTTCTCATGTCTCTTGAATTGTGTGTGTGGATTCTGTGCAGTGGCAATGCCCCATTTGTCTCAAGAACTACTCCTTGGATAGTATAATCGTCGATCCTTATTTCAATCGCGTCACCACTAAGGTATTGCTTTCCTGTTTAGAATTCTAGTAAATATTTTTGTGTTTTGCGGACATGAACCTTAGCTTTATGTTTTGTTTATTCTGTGTTGTTTACAGATGAGGCACTGTGGCGAGGATATAACAGAGATTGAGGTAAAGCCTAATGGTTCATGGCGCGTGAAAACAAAAACTGAAGCTGAGCGTAGAGAAGTGGGAGAACTTGCACAGTGGCACAATCCTGACGGTACTCTATGCAGCATACCAAATGGGGTGGTTCAGTCAAAGGTGGTGGAAACAGGGAAGCAAGTCAAGCAGGAAGGTAATTCTGAAGGTCACGGTACTATTAATGGTTTGAAACTTGGACTTAGGAAGAACCGTGATGGGCTTTGGGTAGTCAGCAAACATGAGGGTATGAATGGCTCTTCTTCAGGGAATAAGAGATTGCAGCCGGAGAACTTTGGGCAGAAAGTTATTCCCATGACTAGCAGCGGTACTGGCAGTGGCCATGAAGGCGAGGATCCAAGTGTGAATCAGGATGGGAATTTGGATTTTAACAATAATAGTGGAGGAATGGAACTCGATTCATTAGCTCTCAATATAGATCCTACGTTTGGGTTTGGTGCACAGCATATTTCTGCTCCAGTGGCACGGGATGCAGCCGAGATCATTGTTCTTAGTGATACAGATGATGACGATAATGATATCCTTGTGTCCTCAGGGACTGGCTTCAACAACAACCAGAATGATGTTGGTGTGGCTGGTTTCTCAGAGGTTGCCCGATCTGCGATTCCTGAACCACCTTATCCCGAGGATCCTAATCTTGTCACTGCTGCTGGAACTTCCTGCTTGGGTCTTTTCAATGAGAATGATGATGAGTATGGAGGTTTGCCCCTCTGGCCAACACCCCAGGGCGGCCCTGGGTTCCAGTTATTTAGTTCAGATGTCTCAGATCCTTTGGGTGACTTGCAGCATGGTCCCACATCAATTAATGGATACAGTTTGGGTCCCGATACTGACATGGGACATGTTAATTTGGCCCCACCAGATACTTCTGTGGGTAGATCTGACGGGAATGATGGGTTGGTTGATAATCCATTGGCTTTCGAGGAAGATCCTTCTCTACAACTGTTTCTTCCGACCAGGCCTTCAGATTCATCGATGCATTCCAATGTGAGAGATCATCAGGTTGATGTTTCGTCTAATAATGGTGGGCTCCGATCTGAGGATTGGATCTCTCTTAGGCTGGGGGGAAGTGCTGCAACTGCCGGGGGTGGTGGTCATGTTGAATCTGTTCCTCTTGCAAATGGCAGCTTAACTTCAAGACAGTCAATGCCTCCTAATAGAGATGGTACCATGGATTCTTTGGCTGATACAGGTTAGTTGGTTCTTTTCCATGAAAGGCTTGATTCAATTACTATTATGCAATTAAAACTAATTTGTTGCTGATATGGGTAGCGAAATTGATATACTTGCTTACGTACGAGGCTTACATAGGAAAACTGTCTTATCTGTTTTGGCAATTTATGCAATTCCGCTTCTCTCTAGCATTTGGGTTCTGATAAGTGCACTGGTGGTTGTTGCTGTGTCTGTTTTGCAGCCTCATTACTTCTTGGGATGAATGGCGGGGGCAGATCTGAAAAGGCAAGTCGCCCGAGAACTGAAAGCCCTTTCTCGTTCCCTAGACAGAAGCGCTCTGTGAGGCAGCGCTTGTACCTTTCTATTGATACGGACTCTGAATAGGCAAACTGCGGGCATTGATATCATTATTTCATCAATTTTTTGGGGTACAGAAGCCGTACTCTGAATTCTGGGGTGTTTCAAGTTTGGCGGCAGTGAAGTCTCCTTCCATCCATCATTTGGAACCAAGAAAACCCACCTTGCTGAAATGTGAAGAGGTCTCGGATGTCTTGACATAATTGGCGGTATTAATCGAGTAGACAATGCCTCAATTTTGTGCAGCAGCAGCAGCAGCAGCAGCAGCTCGTTTTAGACCGACCACACGACCTGGTCCATTTCGGTTAGTACTTATCGTTGTTCCTTTGGTGTTGGTATAGGCCGAGAGTAGCTGGGGGAAATGTACAGTAGGGGAGGATACTTTAGATAGAGAGGTCCAAGAAAGGAGCAGCTGATTGAATTGTGGGCGTAATGGTTGTGTTGAACCCTTGTGGATGGATGGTAACATG